TTGTTGTTCTTGTTGTTGTTCTTGTTGTTGTTCTTGTTGTTGTTACCAATACCACTATCATTATTATTATGTGACATTGTGATTTACGAATGATAATTTGTGTAACAAATTTATAATTATATTTTCAATGTAAAATATGATTGCATGGAACTGTTAAAAATAATAAATAGTTTGAAAAGAGTCCAACTGTTTCATACAGTAAGCCTTCTTCATTAATGTAAGATTTGATAGTTGACTGCTTTTCAGCCGACCACTGAGAAGAATTTTCAAATTTTTAGTTTTTTATAAAAATCAAAATTAAGAATATATTGATATTGCAAATTTGAATTCGTAAAATCATGAGATTTGTTTTTTAATTATAAATTTATTCCCAATTCTATCGTAAATTTGAAATTTTACTGAGAAAAAGCAAGAGTTTTTGGAGCATAGTTTGGATAAGTTTTTTTTTTTTCATATGGAAAAAATCGTTCTCTTATTTATTTCGGTCATTTTTAATTTCAGGGCATTTCAGTATTATTCAAATTATCCTTTTCTATTTTTCATCAATTGCAATAGTATTTTACTGTTAATGATATTTTTTGATATTACTTCCTAATACCTCTACCTCTTTTTTTGTCCGGATTTTGTCCGGACTGTACCATGAAATGAGCTGAAAATGAATTATTATGAAATATGACATATTAAAATTTCTATGCGACGATTCCTTTCAAATTAAATGCCCTGCATATTTAATTAAAAGTAAATTAAAATGATGAATTTTGAGAAACAGTCAAAAATGTTTGAAAAGATGTCAGAATGAAATAAAAAGCTTTAGGCGATTAAGGCATCATTATTGGATCCAATTAATGAGGTCATTTTAAACTAACTTCTTTGATATATTTATGCTGTCAACTACTTGGCATCGTTTTTCGAAAGCAATTTAATTCTTTCGCAAAGTGTTTCGTTTGATGTACAAATAGACAATGGAAAAAATATTAAAGATTGGAATGAAATCAAAAATGAAAAAAAAACAGTAATGATTAAATTGGACAAAACAATAATAAAATTATTGTTTTTTCTCTCCTCTTCTCCCACCACTTTGAATATTTATTGTTAGTGCTCTAAATAAATATTTTAAAAATTTTTATTGAAATTTAAACCAATTTTAAAATATTTATACGATAGCAAGTACGTCATTTATTTATTGATAATTTATAATTTGAGCTGTTATCTTAAAGAAAAAAATAATTGTAGTCATCATAATATGACATTATACATTTAATAAAATTTCTCTCAAAGCTGTTTTAAGTAAGGGGTAATCTACAAAAATTTCTAATTCCAAAAATTAACATTGAAAAAATTACTAATGAATAACAATTGAAGAACTTAGCACTATCATTATGATTACAACTGAGGAAAAATTTATTAAACTGACAAGATGGTATTCTGCAAATTATCGCGTATTACTATTCTTGCAAGAAAAAATAAAAGAAGACAATTTTTTTTTAGTTAAATTTTCAGTGTTTATTTGCTTATTTTCAAATTACACAGTTTTATTTGCTTTTATTGCTAAAAGCTTTTTAGCTAACGAATGGTTGGATGAATATAATATATTATTGTTAACATTACTAAAACTTGCTGTCCATTTTAAACAATTAATTAATCCATTTTTAATTCAATACCTTTCTATTAGTTTTCGAATGAAGTTGTTTTTTTAATTACTAATGTAATTTCTTAACAATAGAGCAATACAACAATAAACAATACGAAAATCAATAGCGATAATGATTATATGTTGCCATTAATTCAGTTCATCTGTTGTATATATATTTGCAATAATAATTAAATATTGCAATTAACTTATTTTTAAATATATAAATATGAATGCATATTTATTATTAAAATTATGAATGCCCTTCCTAAAATGAGTATATTTACGATTGAAGAAAATAAATTTAATTAAAAAATTAAGAGGTATTGAATGTTGTGTTGTTATTGATATTGTATGTTATTGCTATAATTATGCAAATACAATTGACATAGGTCTCCTTCATTATTCATAGTGAAATAATAATTATTGTTTACACATTATAAATGAATGTAATAGCTGAGTAATATGAAATTTGCAATTTTTCATTCATCAAAAGAATGACCTAATGGAGCGTGAAATTTCAAACGATAATTTAACAAAATTTCAAGGATAACAGTTTATCCACACACACATTTAAATACAAATTTCAGTTATAACGGAACACATATAGGCAAAAACAGATGGCCCGTTAAAAAATAGGGACTTCATCTTTCCTTCGACAAGATGAACATTTCCTTTTCTCTCTCGCCCTCTCCCTTTCCCTCTGCTTCTCTCTTTCTCTCTCTTATTACATTTCCTTATTAATCTATTTATTCTATAAAATCAGTCACAGAAACATCACATAACTCCAACTGTTATCGATTGAAAAGTTTTAAAAATTTTCACATATTTATTATAACAAATGTACTTTCATTCCATTTGATTTTTTCCATTTTCATACTGACTTTTTATATTTTAACCTGAAATGTGATATTAAGTTCAGAGCGAAAGTGTTTATTGAATTCAAATCAATACTTCCATCCCACTTATACAGTTAGGATTGTCGTAGTACCATTTTTCAATGATGCTTTCATCCCTTCCTTCAAATTTCAATCCATATTAAAGAAGCTAATAGAGGAAAACGGCTCTCTGAGGGATGAATTCACCCTGCTTGACAGTACTTTTCAGTTCTTCCCAAAATTAGCTCTGTAACGGTCTCACAAACCTGATTTTCATGCTTCCTTATGAAATAGTCCCGCAGTTATTCGGTTTACAATTGGACCGTTTGGAATCTCATTTTTCCGGATTGATATAATTTTATCCGTCAAATAATTTTGACAAATTTATATGGATTCGTTTATTTCTCGTTTATTTCTCAATATTCTTCCTCTCTTTTTTCTGCCAGTAACTCTACAGGCGTTTAATTTTCCTAGTCACTCATTACTGGTTTATCTTATAATACTTTTAATATTATTTTTCTCCCTTTTTCTTCGAATAATGCAATTTTGGACAAATATGAATTAAGAAAAAATATTTGAACTAATTTAAATTTTCTGAAACATTGAAGGTTTGGATAAATGTTATAAAAAACAAAAACTTCTTTATGAATTTTTACTGATGAACTAAATTTATATTTTCTCATTGATATGAGTATATTGTGAGGATCAAAAATTTTTTGGACTTTGGTTTTCTTATAATATTCGGGGGAGGGAGGGGATTCTTTTCAATTGTAAGAAAATTTTGGTAATGCCAAAAATTTTTTATTTTTTTAAATTTGAAACAAAAAAGTGAATATTATATTTATTGATCCAAAATTAAATTTCATTTTGTTAATTAATTTTGTACTTTACTGCCAATAAATTCATTTCAAATTATTGAAAAAGTTTTTTGTAGAAGGAAAATGATTGCTTTCGTGAAGCTTTCTATGATTTTTTTCTTCATGATTTGAGAATATTATGATGATTATTCATAATTTTCAAAATTATATTCAAATTAAATTTGAAAATGTAGATAAAATTTTTTTTGATTTTAATACTCGATTTAAAATTGCAAATCATATAAAACCATTAAAAAAGTTAAGTTTTACTATTTATAACTACATTTATTTTTATTCTTTTTCGTATTTGATGTTGTGCACATTGTGTATTTCAAATAATTTTGTTTTCTGAGAAAAGATTTAATGCAACTTTTATTACAGATGGTTACAAGTGATGCTGAAAAATTTTATTTAAAAGTGGAGAAAGGGCGAAAGCCTCGCATAAAATTATTCGAAGAATTACGTAATGCGCTGGTTTGTATTATTTCATTTCTTTTCACTCTTTTTTCAAATAAATTTGTAGTAATTATATAAATTTTATTCGAAATTAAGGATCTTTAATTATTTATGATATCATTTAGGTGACAGTACCATACGATCAATCAATTAAATGGCCACCAATACGTGTGCAAATGAATGGTGGCATAACAATTATTGTTCAGCGATTAGAACAGCAGTATAAAATTACCGTTCAACATGTTGTAAGTTTAAAATGAAATAAGTAAATAATAAATAAGTCTAAATTTTGTCATTCTTTTTCGAAATTTCACCAATTTTTTTCAATTTTTCTGCAAAGACAACTTTTCTTTTTAGATGGAACGCAAACCGGATATATGTGTTTATGTTAATGCTTTAACACATGAACGTGATATCCGAACGTGTGTTCGTGATGTCAATACTCAACTAAATCACATAGGTGTTGCAGGCCCTAATCTTGAGGTACGAAATAATATAGAAATTGATAGATAATTTACGATACATTTACAGATTTATCTGAAAAATAAAATTTCAAAAATAGAAAGGATATCATATTCAAGACATTTCAGATTTCAAATATATTAGTTCTAATTTCTCTATATAGCATAACATTATGTAATTGGAAGAAAAAATGATGATTTCAATTCATTTATTCAATAATATCAACAATCAGGCTAATATGTTATAACGTATCCATTAATCGACTGATGGATAAGATTTAGATGCTAAACTTTCCAATATTGACTGACTTAGATTCTGATGAAACGAAAAATTGGTTTTAAATTTAATAATATTCAAATGAATAAAAAATTAACAAACCAATGATTGCAAATGATAAATGATAAATTGCTGAAACATATTCAGTGTTATAATTCATACTTCAAACAAATAATTCTAAATTTATTCATATCACTTACCTACAATTCATACTTTAAGATGAGTAATCAAAATTTCAGGTAACTGGTCGTGTCAAAGCCATTAAAGCAACATTTGAATCAACTGTTGGAGCATTGCACACCAATTCGAAATTGTCCGCTCGTAGTATTATCCTTAAAGCTCAACACATTTTCATTAAACCGGAAGCTTTGTTTACATGTTCAAAATTACGGGTTTGTTTATATTACGTGAAATCGATTTGTCTACTCACTTATTTCATATTTCCATCAAACCATGTCTCATAAATTATTACGTGTTCAAAATTACGCATTTGTTTACTCTACGTAAAATTTACTTATTTACTCTGTCCATTTATTCCAAACATTCCTTCTCAGTCAATTCATTGTTCCAAATATCATGTTTTAATTCTATGTCTTTCTATCATTTAATTACACGAAAATTCTAATTTTATTTTAAATTGACAAAGCAATACATTTTAAATTGCGGAAGAGAATTAGAAAGGAGATTTGTAGCATATCTATTTTCAGATGATATCACGACGTGTTCAAATTGATGGTCGAATTTGTTGTTCGGACGAAATGCCATCCAAAATGTCTGTTTTCATTGATTCCGCTTTGTTACATATCGGCGTTGATGGTACAATTGGTACGACACGCTCATCTGCCGATAAATTTGTAATTTCCTATTCTTTTATATTTGGAGAGATTAAGTTTGGATAAAGTTAATTAGGATGAATGAAAAATGAATAATGAAATTAATAAATTAATAAAAAAATTAATGTAAGGAACTAATTTAAGATTAATAATTAAATAACAAACGACCTGATTAATAAAAAATTACTAAGAATATGACAAAAAGAAAGAAGGAGCAAATGAATCGTAAAAAAGTAAATTAACAATATCAATAAATAAAATATATGATAAATTGTCAAATGAATTTAAGTAATCAAAAATGACTAACCAAGAAATGAAAATATAGCAGCTATTAAATATTGACAGATAATAAAGTTTGCGTCAATTAAACAATAGATTTAGACTAATTAATTAGCACTTTTTTCTATCATGTTCATTTTTGTTATACAGCTGAGGTGAAATTTTTTTTATTATTTGATAAATATGCAAGTGACAAATATTAATGCAGCGAAATGATCAAATATTCTAATTAATTGTATGAATTTAATCAATTATCCAAAAATTTAAGTGTTTAGAAGATCGAAAAAAAATCTTTCCATTTTTTCCTAATTTCAGATGTCTAAATTATCGGAAAATCTTGTAAGTGTGCTTTATTTTCGTCTAACCGGCTGCTTGGCCAATTTTGGGTCTATCGCTTCCCAGAACGAAATGGAATTTCATATAGACGGGAGTGTCTTATCATTGCAAGATAGCCGAATTGATAGCGCTTCCAGAGGGTATGCTTTCATTTGACTATTTGCATTCCTTATGATTTACGACTTTTGGTAACTACATTAATTTATCTGAAAATTTTATCAGATAAATTAATGTAGTTATCAAGAAATCATTCATTAACTTTGATTATTTGTTCAGCGAATTAAATGTTATGTTTTCATTAGTTTTACAAAACATTTTATCATATTTTTGATTTCTTTTAATTTATTTATTTGAAGATATGCAGCTTTAAAACAAATCAAAGGTATCAGTAGCGAAGCATCCGACTCATTACCAACAAGTAGTATTCTCAGTTCAGCAATTTTATACGAAAAACCGGATACGGTTGCTCAATTGCTAGAAGATGGCGTGGATTTAAATGATTCTATCAAGGTTTAACTTCACTTACGTACTAATTAATGCTGCTTTTAGAAAAAAAATGCAAAAGAATTTTTATATTGTAAATTGAATTTAATAATTTTTCGCTGTCAAATTTCAACCTTTGATTGGTTATTTTAGAAATTTTGTTACAGATAAATAATATTGATAATGATACGCCAAGAAAGATAGCTGTCAGAAAATATAAGGCTATACATGCATCAGAAAGACGAAATAAAAGGCGTGAAAAGATAACACTAATCCAAGCTCTTATCAGTACGCATGATTGGAAACGCGGAATTATCACTTCTAATAATATTAATGCTAAGGTAGATATAATTCTGGAAACCTGATCATTAATAAATGAGTGGAATTTGATAACTAACAGAATTAATTGGATTAAAAAGAAATTTATGAGTAAATAAAAATTTAATAATCAAACAATTTTGTTTTGAATATTAGAAAATTGCTGAAAACAGAATACAATTACTTGGCAATAAAGATGTGATAGTTGTAGTTATTAATGATTATAATAAGCTTAACTAATTGTTAAAAATATGAAGAAAATTTTACAAAATTTCCACGTTAACTTCCTTTAATATAAAGCAAAATTTTATATTATTCTAAAAATCACGAATTAAAGTCATTTTGAAAAATAAATCAGATTTATTCATTGCTATAAAAGAAAAGTAACTATATTACAAATGATTTCTGTACTCAATTATTGTTCAATCTCTAATATTATTCATCAGTCTTTTTCTTATGATATATGCTGTTGAAATGTGAAGAATACTAAAACGTGAATTTAATTTGAATTTAAAAACATTGCGAAAATTCATGATTTTACTTATTACTTTAACTTAGACAACTTTTAATTACTAATTTAATTTTTTTTTTACTTTTTTACTGTGTTTTTCCTCGTGTTCATTTGATTAATTTATATGACTAGTAGTAATAATGAGAATGATAATAGTTAACAATAATGAGAATAACTGTCGTAATAGCAGTAATAATTCTTTTAAATAATACCAAATAATGAATCCTAACAAATTATAATGATAGTAATAATAAACTATGATAATGAGGTAGTTTAGAATATCGCTAAGATTTTAACTGAGTTATACTAAAATGTATAACATTATTGAAAGTAACTTAATATGTCGAATGAGATGAAACTTTTGAAGAGTGAAACTATTCTCTAAGATAAAATTTTGATTTGTAAATTTAATTAAGATTGGACGAGATTGTGCCGATTGTGCGCAATTTCGAAGTAGTACATTGGCGCTGACAGTTTATGGGAATGCAAAGTGTGAAGCAAAATCAATTTGGACCGGTGGTTCGGTTACGGTAGTGGTGGGCCATGATTTGATTATCGAAGGTAAGTAGGATATTTGGTGATAACTAGAACTTATTAAAATATACTCGTAAAGAGACCAATTAATTCTTAATTTGTTAAAATTTGCTTAAGACCGAAAACTCTTAGATTAAAAATTTGGTAGATTTTTGATATTTTATGTTTTTTTAGGGCAAGTAAAGCATGTAAATTTGGATGTATCGTGTGGAGGTAATGTGGCTAGCACTGAAGAAGCCATAATTAGCCAAGAGCAATGTGCTAAGGTCAGTTTTTTATTTATCTTAATAAGTTTTAATAAAAAACGAAATTTGTGCGTGTATTTTGGTATTAATTGAAATAAAACAATTTGCAAACATTGATGGACATATACGTATATTTTGAAGAATATTTAAAAAATGTATATTTAATTTTTCAAAGTTTTGTTTTTATAATTTTCAATTGCAGCGAACTGTGAGATTTATTTTTTGTTATCCTAAGAAATTCGAAATGAAAATCTGAGCACTAATGAAGTAATTCTTCTTTTTTTCCTATTACTTATCAAAATTCACACATCAAAATTTGTAAGTTTATTTTAATTAAGATATCTTGAAATTTCAAATTTGCTAGCAAAATAATTCATTTCGTTAACATTTTATTCAGATAGTTTCTTCCGCACTTTGTGTTGCCGGAATTTGGTCAGTGGGTGAGCAGTTTGGTTTAGATGTCAAATCGGCTACATTTTTGGAAGAATCATATGTGGAAGTTGATTTTTTTGAAGGAACAATCAGTGAATGTTGTTACAATTCCGGTAACTATATTCCAATTACATTATTTCGATCTTTTAATTCGGACCATGCGCAATATTAATAGTTCTTATCAGCAAATTGAACGATTATTTGATTATATTATAATCACTGAATGATTAATAAGCATATTTCGGAAGTAAATATTATAAAAAAATTCTCCTCTCTTATCACTTAATTTAATTAAATAAATTTATTTTTATGAATTCATAATCTTAAATAATTTCTCAAAGGTTCATGAAAATTGATTCTCTTTCTTAATAATAATAATAATAAAATTATTTTGGAAAAAAAATCAATTAAAATGATTAGTCATGCATGGTGCAGATTTTTATCACATCAACACTTTGCTTTTCTTTCAGGGACTTGGCAAGCTCGTTTCATATCATTAATAATCCGTGGTGATTTGTTTACTTTGCATACCGGAAAAGTTTTTGTTGAGGAAGCAACAGTCATTGAAGCGCTATCGTTCAATAATTGTGGTTTATGGAAAATTAAGGAAGCAATTAAAATTATCCTTAAGGGATCAGCAAATTTTTATGCTTCGTCAAAATTTAACGCTAATTTGTTAAAACTAATAGCTGAAGGGCAATGTACTATTGGTGGGCACTTGTCATTGGAGAATTTATTAGTCTATGTTCGTAATGATATGATAACTGCACCTGTTGCACGAGTTAATGTAGCTGTAGGCGCAACTGTCGTAGTAGGAACATTCCGTAATGATTCTTCATGGTATCTTGATGGAAATTTGCACTTGCATGTTGCATGTTTTGAGCAATCCGAAGATGCCCTTATTTTTGTGAAAGATACTTTTACGATGGTAGTTTATGACCTGTCAGAAGAGCATTGTCAGGGACGAATTGTCGCTAATTACTTAATTATGAATTTGGCGAAAAGGGTCCGTTTTGACGGTTATATTCGGGTGAATCAAATCGAAATTTGCGTACCGCACGTAAATGAATCGAGGGTAATAGTGGGTGGACAGCTTGAAGTACTCGATGGGCCATTAGTTATAAAAGGACGAAGTTCCGAAATTCCTTTATCTTTATCGTCATCGGCAATATCATCTGTTGCAATGCATTCCTATCCGGCATTTATTCTGGAAGGACAATTGAAAGCGGAAGCTGTTATAGCACCCTTTCTAGCTATTCTATTCTCAACATCATCCTATTCCTTACTTTCCGGAATGAATTCTGTATCAGAGGATGCTACATATCGTACTCTAATATCATGCAATTCGTTGCATACCCAACGAACTTCATTGATCGATTCCATTCCTGAGGGCTTATTTCCGGAGGGCATCTTATGTGCTACAACATGGCTTCATGAGGGACAAATTCGATTTAAAGGTGATAAAGTGTATATTATCACTGATGAATTGATCAATCGTGGCCGGTTAACCAGTGGTGATAGGTTGCAAAATCACATGCGTGAAGTGGTTGTAGTGGTGGAGAACTTCTTCCGGAATGATGCCGTATTTTCAGCTGATCGCATTGAAATTCGTGGAAATGGTGAACTGCAAAATACGAATCGTATCTTTGCTAATGATGAGATGAACATACGATTGGCAAATTTCCGTAGCGAATTCGGACAGACACAACTGGAGGGTCAGAAATTGCTATCAGCGAGTAATGGATGTACCCATATGGGAGGTCATATTGAAGCTGGTGGGAATTTCGATATTTCAGGATCGAGAAGTTGCATGGCACTGCATAAGTATGGACCCGAACAACAAGTTCGAATAAGTGCTCGATCCCGATTACTCATTGATAACGATATCATCGATGGTCGCAGTAATATCGCATTGTCATCTCGGGATGCGATCCTCTTCAAATCACGTATAATCCTCAATTTACTAGAACTAACTCTTGGGGCGGCTTATATTACAGAGATTGTGGTAAAAAGTGGTGCTTCGGTAACCGTTAATCAATTACGAATTACGGGAAGTTGTAAGTATCTTACTTTAATTATCGACGGTGAATTATCCTGTGAATCGATGATTATCGATGCAAGAATTCGGCAAGTTAAAGTAGTTGGTGGTGGGATATTGTGCTGTCGGAAGTCATGTAACGTGGGCGGTGATACGATAACCTTAATGACCCGTGATATCCGTGTCACTGAGCTAATAGGTTCAGCGATAACGATAGCTTCAGATGGTGCGCTTAGTTTGTCACCTTTTGATTCCAACCTCAAGACGGTATCTATTTATGCGGATAGCTGCCATTTGCGAGGAAGAATATTCGTCGAGCATAAAATTATCTTGAAAATTAGCGATGGAACATGTCATATTAGCGGTGAAATCCTTGGAACCTGCGCAAACAGTGAATTATCAGTGGAGTGCGGTGATTTGGTGTTAACTGGAACAGTGGCAAATTTGGATTTCCTGGAAAGTTACACACGCACAAAAGTTAAACATTATGAAACAGGGATAATTAAAAGTGTGAAAAATATCGTTTTTGAAGCGGAATTCATTTCGTTAGATGGTAAAATTATGAATTCGGAATCTGTAATTGCTACAGGCGAAGAAGTGAACATTGAAGGAATTTTTCAGAATCAAGAAAGTGCAAATGTTTCTTACTCGATATTTGGTAAAAAAATATTTTTTGACGGAGAGATACATGGGCTGACACGATTGGAATTGAATGGATCAGAAATTACTTTTTCCGGAATTTCAAGCGGTTTGAAATTTCTTGATATTGATGCAAATTTAGCTACTGTCACACCACGAGGATTGAAATGTGAAATTTTCAACTTTATCGCTTATTCCGCAATTTTAGATGGTAATTTGAATATCGAGAATTTCAAAGTAACTGTACAGGTAGCCTTATTTATACGAAGCGATCTAACTGGTTGTGTACAGTGCAAGCTTGTTGCTCCACTAATTCTTGCTCTAAATTGTCCCTTGTCGTCTAACATGGATATTTGTTCCCTCATTTATACTTTTGAACGGTTTGAATTCTTAAAATCCGAAAAGCTTCCCAAACTGCTTAATTCAGAAGAACAATTTGCACCGATATCTGTTTGGTCAATCCACAAAAATAGAGAAATTTTTAGCTCTGAGCAATTTCTTGACAGCAGTAGCTGCACTACAAGCGGAAGTTTCATTGAAATTTCCTTTCATTCTGACATTATTAATCATTATACGCTAAAAGAATATGATTTATGGAAGAAAACTATAAAAATAATCGGTGAATGCTTTAAAAATTCGCATACGACTTATAATGAACTTGAAGAAGCGCTGAAACGAACGGATCAAATGAGACCGATTGGTGTTTCTCTGCCAACTACCAGTTCTCTCTATTTGACCCTTTTGAAACTTTTAAATGAAATACATATTGAGCATGTGCTAATGCGCAATTTTGCTGAATTATTCCATCTTATGTGTAATATTGTTGATATTGAAGACAACGACGAAATCAAAAATTCTGAAATATCTATCAAAAAACGAGAAAGGTTCATTTTCCTTGGTTTTTTAAATATTTATTTTAATACATTTCTTGTTAATTTGTGTTTTATAAATGGATAATAATTTACAAACTCCCATGTTCTTAACCGAAATGAATTAAATTTCCATTATTTTATGCAATATTGTTATATTTAATTAATAGTACTGTTATGGAAGTATCTTTCATGTTAAATTTAAAAGAATATTTTTTGCAATTTTTGTTTGACAAAAAGGAAACTATTCCTTAGTGAATAAATCGTAGATTCGAATCAGAAGCATTGCACGAGATAGTTAATCGATTCCGGATTCGATCGCCTAAATTTGAATTAGAACGAGGTGAAAATCATTCGGCTGAGGATGACATTGGCTACGTGAGTCGTAGTTCCAGCGAAGAAATGGACGAAAAGCGTCGAAATATCAGCGATCCGCGGGATGTGCTGTGCGTCATTTCTTCAATATTTTCATACCTCAGTATTTTAATAAATTTAATTATATCTTCATATTTAGTTTTTGATTAATTTCTCCGGAAAATTTTTTAGAAAAACTCTTACAGCTATCACATAAATTTTGATAATGAATCGCTTATATCAACGTCAAAAGTGACAATTAGTGATGAAGATGTTTGCATGGATAATGGTACAATAACAGATGACGAATTGCGGTTAGCCTTTGTTGCATGTATTGAATTTGAAGTTACTTCCATAAACTTTTAATTAAAGATTTTTGAATTGGACGTTATTATTGTTAGCAATATAATCAAAAAAGAAACAAAACTTTCCTTCATAAATATCACTTTGCTATCAGTACGGAATAGGTATAGCTTATTGTTGTTATGAATATTTTTATCATTTTCCGGTTTTACTATTATTATCAGTATTAACTAATTGAGACAAATTTGAATACTTAAATCTAAATAATTTACAATACTTTCGAATTAAAATCAGAATCGAATAAGACTAATAAAGAATATCTTTGAACACATTATCAGTGTCTTAACACATTATCACACGTTTAGTAATAACGAAACGTTAAATGATGATACACGTAAAAGTGAAAAAGCTGAAAACAGTTATAATACAACATATGTTTTGAACGGTGAACGACGAATACCAATTGGTTATGTTGATTTCAATCGATTGGATATTGTTATAACGAAACCAGAATCCTTGACCCGCCGAAAAAATCCCTGCGGTGCCGATTTAGCCTTCAAGAAAATACAGGTATTATTTTTTGTGTAGTTTATATCAACAGTATTTTCTTTTGTTCCTCAGAAGTTTACTAACAAACAATACTTTTGGATTTCATTTAAAAAATTATTCAAACAAATATTTTTATTAATTACTTTAAAATAATACGAAAAAAGAAAGATAATGTGAAATCGTACTCAGTTATTTAGTGTAATTCGGTTTTAACTGGAAAAAGTTTTTTGTTTGATACATTTATGGATATATCGTTATTGATTAGTAGTAAATGCGCCATAAAAATTACATCAAAATTAAAATACTTGCAAAAAAATTTTTGAAACGCAAATTTAGACCAAACACAATAGTGAATAGAATTTTATAAAAAATGTGGTCATAAAATTAAATCAAAAAGCATTAATTCAAAATTGCTGTCAAAAATTTCCAGCTGCATATGAGCATTATATGAAAATTGATTGAATCAAGAAGAGAAAAGATTAAAATTTAAGATCAATAATTTTGAATAATTTAAAAAAATTTTGAAAGCATAATTTTATCTTAAAAGTTTGCGGCGTAAATAACCTTTTTGGCGCAAGGTTTCAAATTTTAGGTAAAAGCAACCTTACCAACGTTAGAATTACGTCTTTTCGGTAGTGAATCATCGCTGGCATCATTTGATGAAAAAGCGTTAATGCATTCCATTCTCACGCCAGTGAAACGATCACTTATTCCACGTGCTGCTATTCCAGCCAAAGGTAATAGCGCCGCAAAAAAATCATGTACCATTATTACTTATAATACATAATTTTGGTATTAACTATCATTTATTGGTGGTCAAATAATTGTGGTACGTGAATCGTTTGCATACACTGTAAGTGTTGTAATTAAGAAATCGTACATGTTCATTACTTGTGAATATGTAATTGTCACGCGTGAAAATGATGAGTAAATCGTTTTGGTGATCAGATGCTTCAATGCTAATACTAATTTTAATTCCAGTAATTTTTTTTTCACTCCTTTTCTCTCTTTTCCCTTTCTTCTTACAATCTGATAAAATTTTCTTTGTTAGGTGTTTGTTGTATATTTATATTTTGTAATTTAGGTTCAAATAATTAGAAGATAATTTTAATTATTGATAATTTTAATGAAGTAATGTTTCTTATTAAATTAGTTAACTATTCCCGTCAAAGTGTCGTTTGAAGAATAAGTTATTTTGAGACTAATAATTAAGGAAGAGATTGTTAGAAGAAAATTCAAATTATGCTTATAAAAGCATTTTTTATTTCATTTACAAATTTTAATTTAGCCAATTGCTCAATAATAATATTAAAAAAAACCTGTTTTCCTTTTTTCTCTTTTTTCTAGATTGATTTTTTAAATTCTTATTTGGGATTTTTTTCATAAATGAAATTAAGTTTGTCATCAAAAAGTCAAACGCATCTAAAAAGAAATGAATTGATAATTTAGAACGAAAAATGACAGAAATTTGATAATTGTGATTGAGGGAAATATGAAATGAATTGAATAATAAACACTTTCTTATCAGACGTATTGGAATTAGCAATGAAATTGAAATATTTAAAAAGCAAATAATTGAAAAAATCTCATTGAGAAATAATTATTAAAAGTAGCCTTACAAGTCTGTTAAGTTAATATTGTACATGTCAAATAAAAGGTAAATAAATTCATTTTGATCTTATCCATTTTATGTTTTTAGTCTTACCATTTCTTATTTTTATGCTTTAAATTATTGGAAAAAATTTTTTATTGCTGTAATTAGTTTTCTCTTAAATGCATGCAAATAGGTAAAATAATTATCGTGAAATACTGTGAAAGAATTGTTGTAGAAAAATTTAAATTGAATTCCTCGGAAAATAAGACTATTTATAAAGAGTTGGTAATAATATTGGCAGATAATCAGGTTAGGAGAGGGTAATCACTGATAATCATTTCCACGATGGGTAACATTAGAGGGGAAGAAAACGGATACAAATACGAGTGAGAGGGAAATTTTTCTTAGTATGAGGGTCTATTGAACTAAAGACAAATATTTTTACTAAAGAAATTCATCTTCGTGTTTAAAAAATATTCTCTTTTTCTTTTTCCTTTTTGATAGCTAATTAACTCAAATAGTTTAAATTGTCATTAGCAAAAAGAGAAGGAAGAAATGATAAATGCTTAACTACAAATTGTTTTAAAATTATCGATAGAATATTTGTCGTTTCAAAATTTAAAGGCACTTTTTTGTTTTACACTGTTTGTGATTCATTCGGAATGATAATTTCTGCAACTTTGATATTTGTTCAATTTGCTTACGTTTTTTACTTACATATTATGAATTCATAATTCCTTACTTGCGTTAATATTTGTTATATATGTATTGTTTTTGCTTCATTTCTATTTCGCATTTGTTTTCTTTTTTTCGGCTTTGTTATTTTTGACATTTTTTCTAGAGTTACATTTCAAAGATTTTATTTACTCGTTGTTTTCATTGTATATCATTGTTACTTTCATCGTGTTATCACTTAATAAAAAATACTGTGTGATTAAACGGGTCTAACTGTCGTTGTAAATTAATATTCATTTGGATAAAACAGTTTTGTATAATGGTTTGCATTCAATTCCATTGATTTATTAATATTTCCATGTTATTCAATTAAGTTTGAAAATTTGATTTTAAATTACTGAAATCGTCAACTGATCGCGAAAATATTGTACTCGCCTTATAGAATTTGCAATCATTATTGTTATTTATTATTACTATTCCTTATTATTAATTATTATTATTAAATTATTATTAAGGTGTTATTATCATTAACTTTTTTAAATTTATGGTCTTCGTTCTGAAAAATGGAAAAAAATTTAGCTTTAGTTTTTGAGATATCTTACTTAGCTTGAAGTTTCTTATTTATGGCAGAAGATTAAAGAAGCCGTTGAATTATTTATGGATGATATATGCATGTGTATATATGCTTTGTTAGTTTAGTTGAAAATCTTATCGATATGTAAAATTATTTGTTCAACCTCCCATCTTTTATTGATTAATAAAAATTTCTGCGTAAATATTGAGTTAAAGGAAAGAAAATTCAAAATTTTAAATTCATTAATCAGAGAGGAGAGTATTCATCTATTCATAATTTCTTTTTTGATTTCGTAATCCCACGACGGCAAGTTCTTGACGACAAAAGAAGCGATGACGTGATTGAAAAGAAGTCCCAGCAGGTCCGCTCGTCCCTCCGTCTGACACACAATGCTTATACTGATTTCATTTATCTTTCCGTTTGTATGCAGAATAATTCATTTTGTTTCCAAAAAGAAAGTCTGTGCAAATTCATTGACAATAAAGCGCTCTCCATTTTTCATTTGGTTAGTTTGAATATTTCATTCCCGAATATATATAACTGTGTTATATGCCGCTTAATAAAAAATTATTGCTAATTATTTTTCCTTGTTTTACATTAAGAAAGTGTTAGAATTGGAGTGATTCTTTTCTTCATTAAACTGAGAGAATTCAGCAGTAAATTTATTCGGGATTTGTATCAGAGCATTATTTTTGTAATATAATAATAAAATAAGTGACAGTTGAATGTTATACATTCCGCATAATTAAAAGCATAAAATTAGTTTTCGATGATATGAGTTGGATGTTTTGATGGGAATAATTAAAGTGATATTTAATGAGAATTAGTAGTTCACAAGACCAAAAAGGTAAGAATTGTTCTTTTTAGTATGTCGAAATTGCTAAATTATATTCTCAACACAAAAAAAGAGAGAAAAGCAGATCGTTTTTAATTCAAGAAAAAAAAAGAAATTAATCTTTGAACGAAAAACTTCGTAATCACAGCATTCTCTAATAGAGCAGAAAAGAGAAGAAAAGTACATCAAATTCAAATTTTGGCCATATTTCAAGCATTAACTTATTAATTCAATGAAACTTTTTAGAAAAATTCAAAATATCAAAAAATTTTCTCTAAAAATGAGAAAAAGTCTTTCAAACTTGAAAAATTTTTTTATCATTGAAAAATTTATGTAATTATGAAAAGAAAAAACTGGTGATATATTTTGAACATGCTATCTTTCACATTAACTAAAAAATTCCGTGCTTCTTAGCAAATATCTTTTAAATTTGATTGCATACTCTTTTTCGCTATCCTGTTTCTCTAATAAATATTTCCCAAAAAAAGTTATACAAAAAAATTATAACTAAAAAGGTTTTGTTTTTTGCTGCCATATATTTTGAATTAATTACCCTCACATTATTTCCTTTTTTTATTCTCATCGTCCGTTCATTTTTCAATACTCAAAATATTTTTTTTTTATATTTTTATGCAAAATCTAAATTTAAATGTTGATATTTCGATGCTACAAAGGAATGCGAAAGCGATTGTAATATTTAATTGAAGCAAAAATTTCTTCGGAAAAAGATTACATCTTCCAGTTTATTCCAGTCGGTCTCGAAAATTTTCCTATTTTATTCTCTCCTACTTTATAAGTGAAATTTTCGCGATTATATTTAAAAACAATATTCTTAAGTATTTTTCTTGTTTATTTCAAAAAAAGAATGAAAAGATGAAAATAATGTTATGATAAATAATTCACATCTCAACATTTTATGCATTTGTTTATGCATACTTTCTCTTCTCAATCATTTAATTATTTAATGATATTTTTTTGTTTAATAATATCAGAGAATTTCTGCAAAAAAATTTTCGTTACTTTTATCTTACTTTTCTTATCTGCTGACTCATCCCGTCACTCAATTTACTTATTGCATTTGCATTTTTAAAATCAAAATTTTATGAGTTTTGAAAAAATAAAAAAACAATTTAAAGAGGTATGAAAGAGCAAGAAAACAAAAGATCCATTAAAAACAAATATTGTTAAGCTTTGTTGAAGGTGGTAATTAATGGTATACAATTTTATGGAGTCATTTCAACAATTTTTTGCTATTTTATAAATTTTTATTTTCTTTCCAGTGTCAGTAAAAAAAAACACAAATAGAAATTTTTATTTTTTCTTTGCAAAAAATTCTTTTTTTGACATTTATTTTGCACATTTTTTCCTATGCATATTATTTAGCTGTGTTATCTTCTTGAAATTTACAAAAAAAGGAAGACATTTGTGCATTGTTGGAGCTGAAAAGAAAAAGCGAAATGGTAAAAATGAACGAAAAATCCGTTTTTAATGTGCGCAAAAGATTTTCAGAAATTAATCTCAATGAAATATAAGAAACTTTTAATAATTTGTAACTTCTCTTCTTTCCAAATTTTTTTTCAACAAGTTTTCATAAAAGCGTTTCATCAAATTTAAACAAGTTTGCGCATCTTTTCTGCTTCAGTTTCAATTTATTTTTACTGCTATTAATTGTTTATATTTATTCATTGTTTATAATCATTGTTTATATGTTTATATATGATCAAAATATATTTCTAATATTATTTCTAATAAAATTAAATTGTAGAAGAAAAAGAAATCTGTGATTGTTAATTCTTTAAAGCTTAAATCGAGGCTAAAAAAGAATAAATCTGAATGTTAACAATGAAATTTCGAGAATTATTAATGAAGTTATATGAAATGGATAGCTATTTTTAGTCACTATCTGAAGAAGAACAGTTCAGTCACTCAAAAAATATTACTTAAATATTTCAGGAAATCTTCCACAATACAATTTTAAGTTACTTATCAATTCATTTCACCATGATTTTCAAGAGTTCATTGTTATCGTAAATATCAGTTCATCGTTATCACTACTATTGATCAAGTTCATTATCACCAGGACCACTTAAAAACTTATCAAAAACTTGA